TTATCTTTTGGTTCCATTAGTTTTGCCAGGGAAATAATTCGACTTTAGTATAAACTAGAATACATAATATTTCCTAATGGAAATATTTTGCATCATTCTGTTTAGATTTAAAAAATGAAATTTGGATATTAAGAAATTAGTACTCAAGCTAGAGTTTGTACATTATTTATTTATTTATTTATTTATTTTAGGTAAAGTTCTCACTACTAGATTAGACTCATGATGATCCGCCTGTTTACAGCCTCCCAAGAGCTGGGATTACAGGCATGTGCCATCATACCCAGTTTCAATTGCCCTCTCAGAGTGCCCTTGGGGTGGGGCCAGCACGGCAGGCCCACAATCGAAACCCCTGGCCCCTGCACCTGCTTGAAGGCACTTTAATCCACTGAGCTATTTGGCTGGCCCTTGGACATAATATTTGAACTTCCATATACTATATCATGAGATGTTTCATGTGAAAAAGTTATAATTTTATATCATATTGATGATATTTTATATTAGTTTTATACTTGATGATCTGGTAGAATCTTGGAAAACTCAGCCTAAAAATGTGATATGTTTAAAATTCATATTATGTATATACTTCCAATGTGAAGCCAAAGTATAAATTTTTTCCTTGGTGTATTAAAAGAGATTTTCTTAGAAAAGAGAAGAATGAAAAAGAAAAAAAAAAGAGAAGAATGCAAAATTTTAACTGTGAAAAGACTGCCTCATTTTATGAATGATTGTCTATGTTTTTTTTCTCATCTTCAGAGGAGTTCTGAATTTTAATCTACTTTGCAGAGACTAGATTTAGTAATTTTTAAAATTGTTTTGATAAAAGTCTAGACTCTCTATCAAAAATAAAATATTTTATTTTGTATTAAAATATTTTCTATCCTCCCCTCTGGTCTTTGAAGACCTATCATTACATTATATATGAAAGTATTCTTCCTATAACCTAAGAAATTTCTCATAAAATATATCATTTTAAAATATTTTTAGTAATTGGCTATATCTAAAGGGCTTAACATTTTGATAGCAGTGAAGCAATTTGTAAAATATCATACAATGTGAACATGAAATAATTTCCAAAACTAACTGGTCTTAAATTATTTAACAGGGAAAAGTTGTGTTCAAGTAGCAGTTACCCGGCCCAAAGTATTTAACCCATGGGCTGAACTAGGCTGCCTGAATTTGTGACTAGTAAGCACAAAACTGAAATGGCCTAGACATTGGGCAGTTTTGGGGAATCAGAAAGCATTTATTTTAATTCAGTTTCATAATCTTTTACCTGAGATGTATAGGACTGCAATGTATCTTGAATTTTTCAGAGTTGCAAAACTGTGTTATAAAGCATATGTCTTATATTATTTAAGTTCCTGGTGAGGGTCAGAGCAGTATTTCATAGCTAAGCACATTATATTTTACCACAGTTGTGTGAATGGTCACATTAAATAGGACAAATTTCAATTTAGTTTGGACTTGGTAGTGAATGATTTCAGTTTGGGTTTGATTTGGCCTCCATATGAACACTGAAATAAACCCTTCTTTTCAGAGGCTTTTTATGTTGTATTATGAGATCTGCACTGTGGATTAGTTCTGCTAATGACTAGGCATGCTTGGTTATTTTACTGAACTTCAGTCATTTCAAATGCTACAGTGAGAAGCTGGGATAAGTATTTCCAAATGTTTCAAGTTCTAAATCTAAATGTTTATTCAATTCTGTGATATAAGAAGTACTAAAATTAAACATTTTATGATATCTCAGTTTTAATGATTCCTTAGTTTTGAGCCCTTCAATATTCTTGAATGGGAAGTATCAATTATAATTTATGTCTAAAGACTCAATACATAGGGCAAGAAGAGTTTCTACTTGGATTTTGATACAGTTAGAATAAAGCTAGGTTCCAAGTTCATGAAGACAGATTCATATTTGGCTACAACTTTGATTTCCAGATACATTGGAGTGTGAGATTCCTAGGGTCATAACTAATAATTCAACTCTGAAAAACACCATGTGGATTTCATGATTGATCTTTGGAGAATCCAGAGGAGCAAATTATCCAGGGTTAGACAGGCTTATACCAAGAGAGCCAAAAGGAAATCTGCCACACCCCCTTTTCTTTCAGATCCTGAATCTGAAAAAATAATTTTTAAACCTAAGCATGTAGGGCTCTCCAATGAGGAAGGAGGAAACCTGGTGTTTCCTCTGAGGACTGGTGAGGCCTCCTGCTAGACAGATGAGTATTACCATCAGATGGGTGCACTGGGTATTAAGCTTGGGTAGAGATCACGATAGAGCATGTGCAGATTCCCTACGATGAATGTGATCACTGGAAATCTAAATATATCCATAAAGTCAATTTTTAAAAAGCTATGGGTGGAGGAATTAAATGAAAACAACATATGAGGTATGGTAGGTCAGAATTCACAAATCAGCCTATGTTCTTTCTGGAGAGTTGTGTTATATGTCTGTTACCTGTATGATAAAAAGAAAAAAAAATTATCATTGGGCATAGAAATCTCTTCAGTCCTGTTTCTCTGCTGTTTTCTATGGTCTTTCCCTTGTCATTTTTCTCAGTAAATTTCCTTGATAGGTGCTGATGACATTTAAATTGGCCACACCTGTCTGAACGCTATACTCTCAAAGCAAATTATAAGAAATTGAAAGCTTATGGTGGCGAGAGAGGCTACATTATGAACGTAGGATTTGTTGTTGCCATTCTTCTGAGAGGCTAGAGGACATACAACCACTTCTTGTTACCTTGTATTAATTTCCTCAAATAGAATTGAGTTCCTACTGTATGTTGTGTATGCCCTGGGGATGTAAGGATATAGCAGATATGTATGTTGGAGGAGACAGACTTCCAATATCTAAACATACAGGTGTAAATACTGATGCAAATTAGCACAGAAAAGAATAGGTTGAGAGAGAAATTTGAGGCCCTCCTTTACTGTGCTAGTCAGGTTTTTCTTGCTGTAACCAAACTTGAGAAAATGAATTTAAAGGAGGAAAGATTCATTTTGGCTCATGTTTGCAATGGTTTTAGCACAAGGTCTCTTGGATCTGTTGCCTCTAGGCCTATAGGGAAGCAGGGACATCATGGCAGGAGGGCATGGTGGGGGAAGGCTGCTTGCCCCACAGCAGCCAGGATCCAGAGAGGGAAAATGGCTAGGGACAAGACACACCCTTCAAAGTCAAACTGACAGTGATTTGTTCCCTCCATTGGGGCCCCACCTCCTAAAAGTGCATTCAGCTAGTGAACTCATCAATGGATTCATCCACCTCATGAGTTTACAGACTTCGTGATCCAATCAGTTCCTCGTAGTTGGTGGTCAGTGTCTTCAACAAAATGGACTTTTGGGAGACATTTAGGATCCCCACCATAGCACTTAAGTAGAGAGGTCTGACTGGGTCTCTCTGAGGCGGTAAGATTTTGCTAGAGCTGAAGGGTGAGAAGAAACTAAGCAGGAAATCAGAGAAAAGAAGAAGGAAATCAGTAAGTAGAACAGCCTGAGGCAGAATGGACACTATTTGAAAATGAGAAAGACTAGTGTGGTTAGAATGTTTGAAGGAGATAAGCAGGTGAGGTCATGCTGGACTTTGTAGGCCATTGAAAGGTGATCAGATACTATTTTAAATGGCAATGGGAAACCACCAATGGTATTTCTAACAAGGTCAGAACTTTTAAGGGATCACTGTGTGGAGAATGTACTGAAGAGGATATAAAGTAAAACTGCTGCTAACATAGCAGTAGGTGGCTAGACTTGTGTCAAGACCCTGGCAATGGGCATATTTAATGTGTATATTTTTAAAGAATCTTTTAATTTATTTATGTATTTTTTTGGTAGAACTGGGGATTTCTACTGAGCCATCTTCCTGGCCCTTAAAAGAATCTTAATAGGCAAGATATAGATGTGAGTAGAAACCACTCTAAAGGGAGGATTTTTAATGTTATTAAGGCTTTGAAGCAAGACTTTCTTGCCAAAGACCCTGGGGTGGTCTCTATACCCCTAAAACTTATGGGCAGTTTGTGTAATGTATTGTATCTTAAAATCATGTTAGAAAGTCAAGGATATTTTCTGTTTCCTCCTCTACGTAAGAAGTTTTTAGTTAGTGCGAAGACCACTATATAGAGGTATTTTAGTCTAGTAGACATAGAACAAAATTTTATGAAAATGGGTGTTCCTACTGATGGAGCCATTCACTATTCTGTTTGCCCTGTGGGTGGTGTGTTCTGAAGAAAGATGTCAGTTCAGTTTGGTGCTATTCCAAGTTGAATCCTCAAGAAGAAAATGTTGAAACAAATCACTGGCAAGAACACATATCTATGGAAGGAAGGAGAGGCAAAATTGACAGATAAAGAAGTCAACTTCATTGCAATTCCAACAGTGTCTAGATTAAGCCAGCAGGAAGTTTTGTAGCAAATATTTGACACCAGAGTGCCCTACACTGTAACCAAATTGCTTCCTCCCCTGTGTGGCTCAGTCACTGAGCATGACTGCCTTCCCAAGGGCAGGGATGATACTCTTATGTAGTTCAGCCCTGAAGGAGGCGACAGCTGTAAGCTGTCTGCAGTCTACACCCCCATAGACAGTCAGGGAGTCCTTCCTGGAAGGAAAATCTGGCTGGTTTATCTCCAAATCCATGGCAAGTCCTGCATTATTTGTAATAGAAATAATAACTTATTCTTTAATGTATGTAGTTTTCCTTCCTCCCAGGAACTCAAGACAAAACATAGAGAGCTGTCTAACTACTAAGTATTAGTCAACTAGGACAATAAAGGAGGATTAAGTGGGAAAAGACTGGAAGGAGTGACCAACTACAAGAACAACAGAAGAAAAGCACTAATGAAAGAGAAGCTTTAAGGGGCCAGGAAAAGCTAATTTTAATATCATACAAACAGTTATGGCATCCAGTTCTGGCCTCATTTGAAAAGTATTTAAATTAACACAGCTTTTAAAACATTTAAAAAATAACATTGTGAAAATTAAGGTGTTTCTTTTTTCCTCAACAGATATGGAAAACAGGACTAAGAGAGCTTGCCCATTCATAACAATTCAGAGAAATGGGAGTGCAGGTACTTTTTTGCTTGTAACTAAGTTTGTTATTTATTTATTTATTTATTTATTTATTTATTTGTGTGTGTGTGTGTGTGTGTGTGTGTGTGTGTGTGTGTGTGGCCAGCTCAGCCCACCAGGGGGCAGGGCTGGCTGGCATGTGGTGCTGGGGGATTGAACCGCGGTCCCTGTGCTTTGCTAAGCTTGTTCTAAGTAGGTGCTTTAGACCACTGAGCCATCTAACCAGCCCTGTAACTAAGTTTTATTACTGATAGTGCACTGTGAACTTTGAAAATGAAATGATGTTGCAGTGTTGACTGCAAAACTTTTAATAAAGAAAAGTTCATTTTACAGTACATTGAATGGTTGAACAATTCCCTGATAGTGGGTCTCTTTTAATCCGTAATAAGGGACAGGACAGTCTTGCTTTCCTCCACTGTTTTAACCTGTAATCCTTTGGAAGATTCTTACAGTTATATGATCCATGATTTCTCTAATAAACCCTAATTACTTTGTATAGTACAGATTATTCATATCATTGAGAATGAAATACATGGTTTGCTTGAATTACTTAGGTTATTACATTTTATGGTACTCATCCTTAGCATATCTTTTACCTATATATTGCCTTATCAAGAAGGTTAATATCACACTAGACTACAACACTGTATGCATTTGAGTGGAGAATGCCCAAATAGTGTACATAATTATATTCTTGTTTTACCTAGTTTATAGTTTTCAGTTTCAACTTTTTAATCAAATTTAAATTATTTTGATTTATATAAAATAGAAGATAACTAATAATATAACACTCTGTGTAATTTTATTACTAAAGACGTGGTTCTTATTCACCATTGATACCTAACACATTTTAAATAAAAATAATGGGTTAGCAAAGGTCATAGTTGGCATTATAAACTTGGTTTTCTAAAATCTACAATATATTATCCCCCATGGAATTATTCTCTCCATGGTCTTTTAGAAGTAATATTATGCAAAGAATATAGTGACAATATTCTAAGAACTTCTAGAAATACAGGTTAAAATACATTATGAACATTGTAATAGGGTATGTATTATATGCTTTACAATATTTAATAATAAGATGAAGTAAATATTTTGGTCTTAATTATACTTGAGTTCCAATAACATGATACTTTTTTCTCTATTTATGATGAATAGATAATCTTGCATTCTGCATGAAAAATGGGCTGAGAAGAATAAAGTATAAGTCTGTAGACTATCAACAGTTACGTGCATTAACTGAAGCAAAGAAATTAGCTGCTGCTTCTTTAGAGCAAAAGGTTAGAAGTTGTGTGTATGTACAGCGCTTTTTGCTAGTTTTGGAAAATTGAACTTGTAGAAAGTATATTAATATTTACATTGACCATGCAAAAAAAAGTGATTGTCTAAATGGTTCTTAGACTCTCCTAACTGTTAATAATAGTGAACAGCAGCTAACAATTACTGAATGTTCTCAGAGTCTGTTATATAATTTGCATGCAATATTCATTTAATTTTTTATAACAACTCTATGAGGCCTACATTCAACTTTGCTTTTGAAAAGATAGTTATTTTCAATAATTTACAACTTCATCTGAAAAGTAAAAACTGCTAAAGAGTGCCAGTCACAGACCATTATCTAACTGAGCTCCTGCTTCAGCCTGCTGTAAATGTGCCTTTGGTTTCTTTCCATTCTGAAATTTTCTTCTTGGCTAAAATACATGTCATAGGCCAGGAACAGGCAAACCTGGAACTTGCTTAAATAATACAGTTTATTAATGGTGGCATTTTTCATTATTTCCTTGTACAGAAAAACTGTTTTAGTGAAACAATATATCACCTTACAAGTTTACATTTGTATTTTAAATGTTCATATTTTGTTAGTTTGCATGGCTTTTCATTATTATCTTTTTTAATTTTTGACTCTGCTGTTAGTACATGTTTGCAGTACATGCAGTTTCCAGTCATCTTGGTGGGGGTTACATGTACATACTCTTATTATCATTTCTAATGGTTTATGATCCAAAGTACACTCATACCTTGTTTTAGAGAAATTATCATATACCTTTGGATGAAGTCCCCTTAAACTAAGGTTATTTAAGAAGTATGCAATGGGCTGTCCTGATAGCTCAGCGGAGGAAAGCACCTGCTTAGGCAGAGCTCAGTGGCCAGGGTTTGATCGCGAGTGTGCTGTGCTGGCACTGCCCCCAGGGCACACTGATACTGCAATTGAGACTAGGTGTGGTGGCACATGCCTGTAATCCCAGCTCTTGGGAGGCTGAAAACAGGAGAATCATGAGTCAAGTCCATGTAGTGAGACCCTGTAGACCTTGTCCTAAATATACAATAAATAAGTAGTAGGTTATTACTTGTTTCAGATATAACTGTAACATAATTTCATGTTATGAGAACATTAAAATAAGTTTTATAGTAAAACAATCACAGAGCTGTCATCCTAATGAAATTATTTGTATGCCTCTGACTTATTCTCACCTATTGTACACACATGTGCACATACATAAACACATATATTTATAAATATAACAATGTACTGTAGTTTTTTTTTCTTTGTATTTTAATACAGGGTCTACCGGGTCTCACTACATAGTTCAGACTCATAGTGATCCTTCTGTTTTCAGCATTCCAAGCACTCACTTGCTCTCTTAGCACACCCTGGGGACGGGGCCAGCACGGCATGAGGTACAAACCCTGGTCCCTGCACCTGCCTAAGCTGGTGCTTTAGTCAGCTGAGCTATCTGGCCGGCCCTACAGATCTTATTTTCTGTCATAAACACAAACATGAGTCCCATTTACATTTCCCTTTATCATTTTATAATGTTATTTTGTTATTTTTATATAATATTTGATAACTCCAGTCAACAAATCTTAACCACGTGCTTATCATTAGCCTTGAAGATACAACAGTGAACACAAATGTAACCCTTAGCTAGCTCCATGTAGTGTACTATTTGCTAAGCACAGAAAGGTGCCAATGTTTATTAAATAAATCTGGAAATGAATTATTTTAAGTATGAATTGCAATAAAACATGTTGTCTGGTGTATAATTACTAGGATATAATCCTGGCTGGGTATTGAAAGGCCTTTCTGAGGACGTGACATGGAAATGGAGATCTGCAGGCTAATAGAAATTACCTGAGCAAAAGCCGTAGTGACAGACATTGTACTGTACTCCAGATAGAAAAGGATGCATGCATTATTACACTTTAATTTATTTGGACTGTCTCCAATTTGGTGGTGTTGGAAGTCCTGCTCTGGAAAAAATTTTCATGTATGCAGGCTTGTCCATGTGTTCAAATTCAAAATAATAAATATGAAATATTTCTCAAGGTATTTTTTTGATTTTTAATTTTTTAAAGAATACAAATTAGAATTAAAACAGATAAATTACAAATAATACAGGATTTCACTTGACAAAATAATATGAATTTCACAACATTTGTTGTAGTGCATAGTGTTGTCTTCCAACTAGTTATTCATATTGCCAGATATATGCACAAAACATTGGAAGGAGAAAGAAATAAGAAATAAATATATAAGAAATTAAGACAGAAACAGGACAGAAATAGAGGCAAAACAAATTAAATATTATCTGCTCCTTTCCATACACCAGCAGAAATCCACAGTACAGTTGTCCATCCATCCTGCTTATATATATAGATATATCTCTTTTCCTCACTCCCTTTCTTGTCCTTCTCAACTCAGTAACTCCTTTTGAATAAGTTCATTCCCTTTGCCCAGTATTTATTGTACCCTTCAGATTCCATTTTCTCTTTCAGGTTCTCACATTAAGGAGATAGTATGATGTTTTTATTTCACTTAAAGAGTATGGTCTCTAGTTGTATCCATTTACCACCAATAGCCTCAAATTTATTCTATTTTATAGCTGAATAATATTCCATTGTGTAAAAATACCACATCTTCTTTATCGATTCCTCAATTGGTGAGTATCTGGGTTGTTTCCAGGATTTAGCTATGAAAAATTGCCCTGCTATAAACATGGGTGCACACATATCACTGAAGTATGAGTTTTTCAGTTCTTTTGGTAAAATATCCATGACGGGAATAGCTGGCTTGAATGGGATCTCCAACCTTAGCTTTTGAAAAAATCTCCACACTGATTTCCATAGTGGTTATACAAGCTTGCACTCCCACCAACAGTGGAGAAGCATTCCTTTTCTCCACAGCCCCTCTAGCATTTGTTACTGGCTGACTTCTTGATGTTAGCCATTCTTTCTGGAATGAGACGGAATCTCAGTGTTGTTTTAATTTGCATTTTTCAAATGACCAAAGACATTGAACATGTTCTCATATCTTTACTTGCCATTTGTATTTTTCATCTGAGTGTATATTCATTTCAGATGCCCATTTTTGGATTGGGTCTTTGAATTCGGGATCCCTTTTTTTTTTTTTTAATTTTTATATGTTCTAGAAGGCATTTGTCAGAGGGACAGTTGGCTATACTTTTTCCAAGTTTGTGAGTTTTCTTTTTACTCTGTTTGAGATTTGTTTTGAAGTGCAGAAACATTCCAAAATGATAAGATCCCAGTTGTTGATTCTTTGAAATGTTTCCGATGCAGTTTGTTTTTTGTTCATGCACTCTCCACCTATCCCCATGTCTTTAAGATTTCTACCTACATTTTACTCCTAAGAATTAGTGTTTCTGTTTTAATATTTAAATATTTGATCCATTTTGAATTTAGTTTCATGCATGGTGACAGACATGCCTAATTTTTGCGTTTGGCATGTGGAAAGCCAGTTTTTCCAGCACCATTTGTTAAAGAGGCTATCTTTCTTCCAGTGAGCATGTTTGGCACTTTTATCAAAGATAAGGTGGCTGAGTGTGTTTGCAGTTGTGTTTGAATCTTCTAATCTGTTCCATTGATCCTCAGGTCTGACTCTATACCAGTACTATGCTGATTTTATCACAGTGGCTTAGTATAATTTAAGGTGAGGGAATGTGATACCTCCTGCGTTTCTTTTTTTTTTTTCCCCCAGGATTGCTTTAGATATTCTTGGTCTCTTCTGGTTCCAAATGAATTTGAGGAAAGTTTTCTCTAGCTCTGTGAGTTATACTAATAGTATTTTAATTGGGATTGCCTTGAATCTGTATAACAATTTTAGGAGCATGGTCATTTTCACAATGTTGGTTCTTCCTATCCAGGAGCATGTAATATTTTTCCATTTTCTCAAATATTTTTCAATCTCTTTTCCAAGGGCACTGTAATTTTCACTGTATAAATCTTTTACTTCCTTGTGAGATTGATTCCTAAGTGTTTCATTGTTTGGGTGTTATTGTGAAGGGCATCGTTTCTCTAATTTCTCTGTTAGTTTGTTCATCATTTGTGTACAAAAATGCTACTGAGTTTTGGGTGTTGACTTTGTATCCTGGTACATTGCTGCATTTGGTGATTAAATCTACAAGACTCTGTGGAGTTTTTGGGGTCTTCTATGTAGAGTATCATGTCATTGGCAAAAAATGATAATTTCACTTCTTTTCTAATCCTTATGCCTTTTATTTCTCTCTTTTGCCTAATTGCTAGCTAATGTTTCCAGAACTATATTGAATAGGATTGGAGAAAGTGGTTACTCTTCTCTTTCTCCTGATTTTAAAGCAAAGGCTTTCAGTTTTTGCCTGTTTAGTATGATGTTGGCTGTTTGTTTCTCATAAATGACTTTTGTCAGGTCAAGATATATAGTCTATTCTGATTTTGTATAGGGACTTTGCCAAAACCTTTTTCTGTATCTATTGAGATGATCATGTGGTGTATTACATTTATGGATTTGCATACATCCCTACATTCCTGGGATGAAACCCACTTAGTCATGATGTATAATCTTGATGATTTGCTGTGTTTTGTTTGCCAGTATTTTACTGAGGATTTTTGCATCTATATGCATTAGAGAGACTGGCCTGTAGTTCTCTTTTTTAGTTGGATCTTTCTCTGGTTTTGGAATCTGAGTAATATTTTCCTTGAGGAATGAGTTTGGGAGAATTTCATGAAAGAGTTTGAGAAAAGTCATTAAATGTTCTCTAAATTTCTTGTAGAATTGAGCTGTAAATCCATTGGGACCTGGGCTTTTCTTTTTTGGTAGTTTCTTTAAAATTACATTTTCAATTTCATTTCCTGTTATTGGGTTATTCAGATTTTGCATATCTTCTTGTCCTAGCTTTGGCATTTCATATGTATCAAGGAAACTGTTCACTTCCTCTTTGTTTTCCATCCTGTGAGAGTAAAGATTTTGACGGTAGGTATTGATGATCTTCTGAATTTCTATAGA